AACAACAACAACAACAACACCTGCTTCTGTCCTTTTTCTTTTGCCATAGAATTAGGAAACTCAAAGAGACTAAGTGTCCAAACCATAAAGGACTTCCTTTATATGTAAAGCAAAATTTTCTATACCAGCTTTTATGCTTATTTTTATGTTAAATATTTGCTTGATATGCAATTTAAAAAATAATAATGTCTTTTTAAAAGGATCTTCTACTAACAGAGAATGATTTAATTATTCTTCCCCAATGGCAAACTAAGGATGTAAAAACAGCACCTAAAATTTTTTTTTAAATATGATCAGAAAACATTTTAGACACACATGTGTTCATTCACTTATTCACAAATTCAACCAGCTTAATAACTTGCCATGTATCAGATACTGAACATATTAAACATACCTTTGACTTATATGCTTGATGAATTATTTTCAGTTTATCTGAAAGGAAAAAACAAGTTGTGTAGTTATGGAGCTATTATGAAACTTCACTTTAAATCATTAAGTGAGATTTTTGTTTTGGTGGGTGGGGGAGAAGGGGCTCTGAAACTGACAAATTTGCATCCTCGCCTGGTATATAGTAAAAGAAAAATTACTTTTGCAAAACATTAAAATTACTTTTGTAAAACATTAAAATTAAAATACTAAGGTATTTTCAAGTCTTGAGTCTGACACACACACACAGCTGCCATAACCTTAAGTCAACTAAGCACATATCACTAGGAATAGAAGCCAAGTGAGTCCTATTACTCTATTTTGGCTTTTTGAATCATTGAAGGCCAGGATTACAAATAACATTTAAAATACTTGTTTGAGTTGTGGTAGGACCTAAGAATTAACCCAAAAATCACCCTGCTAGCCAGGGACTTCACAGAGGACTGTGCACAGTGGATGGGGAACAAACAGAGAAGGTGAAGAGAAAGGTGGGCTAAGCTGTGGATTTTTGCCAGTCCAGAGGGGGCCACCATTTTGTAGGTTTAAAAAGTGGCCTGACAATTTTGGATATTTAAAGAGACAGCACTCTCGCAGATTCCTGTGGTGGTAGGACTTAAGAATTAACCTAAAAATCACCCTACTAGCCAGGGACTGCATGAAGGACTGTGCAC